AGATACCACTAGTATTCCTGTTGAGAGGTGAATCTTCGAAACTAACTGTTTCTGATGGTAGATCGGTACCCATTTCACTTTGCTGGAAAATAAAAAGGAGAGATGAAACTGAGGACGAGGACTACTATTCAGGAAAACAAATTGGAGCGATGTTTTAAGTATGATGAAATATACCAAAGTCGGTATGGATGATAACACAACAAATAAAGTAATAAGAAAAGAGCACAAATAAGTAAAACTAAATCAAAACCAAGTGAATTGTATTACTTTAATAATTGACGGCGAATTATAAAAATGGGATAAAATAAAAGAAACATTAGAATGATCAAGAAACTAGTAACAAAGTGTTTGGTTAATGAATTAATGAATGGTAAATGGTAAGTAAATGAATGATAAATGAAGAAAAATGATAACCAGACTATAAAAAAAGGATGCTGAAAGAGATAAATTGAACAAATGTGTGCGATAGAGGAGACAAAAAAATTAGAAAAGGATAAGATAAAAATAAAAATTTAGAATAGGAACTCCAGTAAGGAAGGTGCACTAAAAATATAATCTAAAAAGTAAACCAAAATCTAATACTGTATAGAAAAAATAAAATGGAGACTGTAGAATTGACATAAGGTGGGTTACATAGAACAACGCCTAGTAGTAGAAGAGAAACGATGGAGTATTAACAACAAATAGGTACTTAAAACAGATCAGAAATTTACATAAAAAATATAACCACATTTCAATATTCATATAAGTTTCGTATCAGTTATTCCAAATTATGAAATATTCCATTTGGTACAACGTTAACATATTTCTGAATTTAAATGGGGATTTTAAAAACAGTCGTATGGAAAATATATTTATGACATTCTCAACCATCTACACATATTTAAATCAAATTGAAGATTTCAATTTACACTTCAATTAACCCCAATATTAGACTGTTCAGCAAAAAAAGATCGGTATACATAGGCGTCACATTCGATGACAATTACACTGTATATTTAGTATTAAAGAGTATATTAGAAGAACAACGCTAAATTAAAATTATAAAAAAAATCAACACATTTTGAAACGTAGCTTCTGTACTGGCGTTATAATACTTTTTCTCCATAGTAAAATACTAAGGCGAGCGTCACGAAGTAGCGCTACGAAATAGCGTATTTTGTGACGCTACTTCTACTGTGAAAGAGTTCAGTTGTACCACGAGAGAAGTTCATTTTAAAATATTAAACTTTTCCAATTTTATTAAAATATATAACAAAGATATCAACTAACAGCGGTTTTTTGTAATTTTTAAAAACTATTTTTTTATGTATTTAAATATAACGTTTTACAACGTTTTTAATAATATTAAACGTATAATTAAAATATTAAAATTACTTTACTCAATTTTAAAAATAATATTTAAAATTTAAAAATCCAGAACATAGTTTTCACATTGTTCGTTGTAATTTTTCAGCCGTTAACATTTTTGAAAATGTTGATTAGCCTAGGTGTTAGGACTGGAATGTAGGGTAAGGAACCATAAGTTATTTGAGATGGTATTACTGATGTGATGTCTGTCAATGTCAATCGTCGGACCTCATTGTTATGAAAATTTTGTTGTTTTGTTGTTAGAAAATTGCGAAGGAAAAGAAGAACCGAAAATTAGATTATTTAAAAGCCCTATGGGGTAGGAGTTCTCTAGTAGTATAGACTACAAGTCTTTTAGTCCGTTTTCCCTGAAATCGATGTCTGAGAAGTTAGTAACCCTAGTTTTCAAGGCATAAACGAAATTTGTTTTCATCTTGGATGAATGTAAAGAATGAAAATTTTTGAAATGGCTACTAAAACAAGGCTTACGATACAACTCCGTTCTTAGCATGCCACCACTGCTACGATGGATAAGCATGTCCAAAAAAGGAATCATACCATCTGCCTTTCTCTCAACCGGCAACTTTAAGTGTTCACATTGGGAGTTAAAAGTGTTATAGTTATAAGTTAAACATCAGTTACTTTGTTTTCAGGGACCGATAAAATCAAATTATTTACATATCGTTTAATAAAAGGTATGTGAAAAGGTATATTTTCTTTACACGTTGTTATAAGTTCATTCAAAACAAAGTTACATAGTATTGGGGATATTTTGCTGCCCATTGGAGTGCCAAATATTTGTTTAAAAAAATTACCATTAAACAAAAAGATGTTAGAGTCAAATATTTATGTTAAAATTCTGATGAAATTATCTAAACTGATCTTGGTATGCGGAGAGATGCTGTTCTAGTTATTTTTGATGCTGTTCAGAATAGCATCTAGTGGTAAGTTTGTAAACAGTGACACAACATCTAAATGTAAACTAATCAATATATAATTATTCGCAACTTTAACACTGTTAATGTATTTACAAAAAGTGAAAGAATCTCTAATATAGAATTGACAATTGCAACTTCTGTTGTTATAGATTTGGAAGAAGCTAAATCCAAAACCAGCTTGTTTGCCTTTTGGTGGAGTGTGCATACCGGACGATTCTTAAGATTGACATAAGTTTTTGTGTCATTTAGTAAATCATTACTTTTTTAATGTAATCGTTCTCATACATTGTCACTATTACATTTCTCTTGTCACTCCTAACAATGTAAATTTCTGTTTACTCTCATTGTATATTGTGTTTAAAAAATATCCTTCTCTACTTGTTTTCTGTACAAAGTTGGTGATAACAGTAGTGCTTTGAGATCTACAATATCCTTCTCTTGAGGTTCTAGACCAGAAATAAGGCACTTGATATCTGATAGAAGAAAAGACATTTTGAAATATTTGGCACTAGGAAATAGGCCCAAAGTCCCCAAAGTCAAAAGTTTTTTGACATGATAAGGAAAAGTGATGTCAGTTAGATTTTTGAACTATTTTTCTTGGAACGTTATTTTTGAACATTGATCAGCATTTAATAGCATCTCTCCGCAGACCAAGAGCACTTTAGATGATTTCATCAGAATTTTAACATTTACATTTAACTCTAACATCTTTTTGTTTAATGGTAATTTGTTTAAACAAATATTTGACACTCCAATGGGCAGCAAAATATCTCCAATACTATGTAACTTTGTTTTGGATGAACTTATAACAAGGTGTAAAGAAAATATACCTTTTATGATTCCTTTTTTGGATATGCTTATTCATCGTGGCAGTGATGACATGCTAAGAACAGAGTGGTATCGTAAACCTTGTTTTAGTAACCGTTTCATAAAATTTTATTCTCAACATCCATCCAAGATAAAAACAAATTGAGTTTTGGCGTTGAAAACTAGAGTTACCAACTTGTCACACATCGATTTCAGGGAAAGGGGACTAAAAAAGTTGAGATATATACTACTAGCAAACTCATACCCCATAGGGCTTTTAAATAAACTCATTTTTGGTTCTCCTTTTCCTTCGCAATTTTCTAACAACCAAAATTTTTATAACAATGAGGTCCGACAGTGACAGACAACACATCAGTAATACCATCTCAAATAGCTTATGGTTCCTTACCCTACATTCTAGTTTTGACACCTAAGCTAATAAATATTTTCAAAAACGTTAATGGCTTAAAATTTATAACGAAGGATGTGAAAATGGTATCGAAGTTATATACAAAAACAAAAGATCCTTTCACACTGCAAGTGACATTGAATGTTGTTTATTCTATACCGTGTGCAAATTACAATGACGTGTACATCGGAGAACTATTTCGTAATTTCCAGAGTAGGATGATCTCACATCGTAGTGACATAAGAACCAACAGAATAAATGCATGTGCACTCACAGAACATACAATAACTCGAAAACATGAGTTCAATTTCAAGGATTCCTGTATTTTGGCAAAAGAAAAAAAACATACGTGTTTTCTTCGAAATGTGTTTCATAAAATCTAGTACATCTTACATAAATAAAAAGTCTGACAGATAAATTGAGCAACATTTATTGTTATTTACTGGAAAAACTACCCAATATGGGCCTCTTGTATCTTGAAAATAAATACAATATTAAGAACAACTAATTTCATTTTAATCTCATTATTTGTTCTTTTCTCTTCTCTATGTATCATAGTTAAAACACACTATCAAAAGATGTCATAAAATAAACTAAGTTTTACTATGCTGACCAAAATTTTTAGAATGTATTGTCCATTATTTTATTTTATATTTGTGTTGTTAATTTTGAGTGTCCAAGTTTATTTTAAATAATCTCAATGACTAGTAAGTTACACAATTTTTTATCTATATTACAGTATCTTGAAAAACAAAATAATTCCGAAAGCTTGACAAAAAGTCAGTCAAAAGAGTGTTTCTTTAACATCTCGGCCAATCTTCTGACTGCAGCCCTAATAAACTGGTGGATTTGTTTATATATATATATAAAGGAGTACGACCGTCAAACAATTATTCAATGCAGTAAGTTTCAAAAGAAAAATTCTTTTGATCAACGAGGATATCGGTCAAAGGAGAAATAATACAAGGAAATCACAGTTCCATTCTTATATTTGAAGACGTTTCGCTTGTGGTGTTCACAAGCTTCATCAGTTCAAATCTAAAAAATATTACAATGATGGTAGGTAATATTATACAAAAACATGAGTCTTCAAATATAAGAATGGAACTGTGATTTCCTTGTATTATTTCTCCTTTGACCGATATCCTCGTTAATCAAAAGAATTTTTCTTTTGAAACATACTGCATTGTATATATATATATATATATATATATATATATATATATATATATATATATATATATATATATATATATATATATATATATAGGATATGCAATAAAAAACAAACAGGAAAATTAAACCCTAGAAATTAAAAGAAGGACACAATTGTCATGGGTAAGTTGAGCTTCATTTAAAAGACAGAAAAATACCAATACACTTAAAATGAAAAACCTATGACACTTGTGTACTACCAGTTACAACTTATGGATTGGAAACTATGGCAATAACAAGAAAAATGGCAGAACAATGGAGAGAGAACATGGAAACGGGCCATGGAGAGAGCCATGTTAAATATAAGCTTTAGAGACAAAATTCCTAATACCGAAATACGTCGAAGAACTAAAGTAACCGACATCATGGGGAAAACAGCTACATTGAGATGGCAATGGGTAGCACATGTAGCAAGACAAGCCACCAACAGATGTTCTCATAAATTGACATTCTGGAGACCTCTAAAAACAAAAGGAAGCGTGGAAAGACTCAAAAAGAGATAAATAGACGATATAACAGCTGTAGCTGGAAAGCAGTGGATGAGAATTCCAAAAGATAGGGAAGCGTGGAAGCAATTGGAGGAGGCCTATGTTCAACAATGGATAAATGAAGGCTGAAGAAGAAGAATTGTTGTTTGGTTAGATCTGGTACTCCGTAATTTAGGAGTTTACTCAATACTCTGTCTTCTTCTAATGATTTTCTATTTTTAATTTCCTTATTGCCTCTTTACTGCTTACTCCACAATATTTATTTCCTCGTTTGTCTTCACTTCTGATATTGGTGATTCATTATCGTCACCCTTAGCAAACAGAGACCGAAAGTAGTCTGCCATGTTTCCTTCTAAATGTTTATCCTTTTTATTAGTTCATCTATTATTACCACCTACTGTACCACATTTTTTAAGATAATATCAAAAAGGTCACTCGTAATTTATAAGTGCAAATAATATTTCTGTGGCTTGGAATAAAAAGGGCGGATGTCCATTTTTCTGTATTTTAGGTTCATATCATTTCTATAGTAAGCATATGAGATAGTTTCATTTAAAAAAAGTCAGATGTCCATATCTTTTACGGTTTTTAACTTTTGCAAAACAAAAAGGCGTAAGTAAATACTCCTTTTTACGTAAAAAGGTCGTATATGGGACACCCGCCCTTTCTTGCAATATAATGGACATAAGATTATTATGCTTCAGCACGTGCAGTTTGAAAAAGGCGGTAGTCCAACTGACATTCTCAAAACCTAACCTCAATTAATATATTAGTGTGCCTTGTTTCTTTGGCGTTTATAGAGTATTCTTTATTGTGAAATACTTATTTATACAGATGAATAGGGGAAAGAAAATATTACTATTGGCAAAACAGTGCACTAATCAAGAAGATGATAAAGAAAATTTAACTTATCTTTGTAAGTACATACCTGCATTATAAAGATACACATATAATATGATTAGTAATGATGTACTATTCCAAATTCTTTCCTTGCAGCAAATAATGAAAACATACAACTAGAATGTAAGTTTGCGGATTCTTTTGTTGCTCCTAATGTTATATTAGAATCACATGGAACTCCTATAGGTAAGATTTAGTTTTTAAATTGATTTTACTCTATACTACGAAAAAATGCTTTGATTTTAGAGAACATCAGTGAAGTTGTTTATTCCGCAAGTAATGCTGAAATTTCTCTAAATAATCTAGAACAAGAGGTACCCAGTAGTGGTAAAATTTACATTTTCATTTTGTATGTCCACTTAAAACTTATATATTTGTATTATTTTAGTTACAGAAGATATAAATCTTATCACTCCTAATACGTATGTTGGTAATGGTATGATTCATGCAGGTGAATCTCTGGGAGAAACTAATAGATTGCAGGTTTTACATGGAAATGATGATGGAGATGTGAACACCATGCGAAGTTCTAAAGGTAAGATGAGCTTAGTAAACCTTGTATCTATGCACTAGAGAACTAAACTAATTTTTTTTTAGGTGATACTAATGATTTAGATATGAATGATCTAAGTTACGATCCAACCTTAGATTTAGCCAATGATACAGAAAATGACAGTGAAGAAGGGACAGAAAAAATTGAACATAAAAATGATGGCCCAGTTTCTGGTAACGATACAGAACAAGAAGAGATTGATTCTCAAAATAGGAGAAAAACGACAAGGAAACGAAAATCAAACCCTAAGTTATGGAAAACAAACATTGCAAAGGCAAAAAGACTAAAAGGAGAAGAATATGTTGGATTTAAAGAAAACGTAAAAGCTGCTAAAGTGATGGGTATACCTTGCAATTGCAGAAAATTATGCCATACTAAACTTGATGCAAATGAACGATTTCAAATATTTCAAACGTTTTGGAAAAAAACTTATAGTTGGGAACAAAGACATCAATTTTTGGCACAAAGTGTTAATATTCGTCCAAAAGATAGACAAAGATCCAGAAATGGCAGTCAGTTAGGTAGGAGAAACTTTACTTACAGCTATGTTTTCAATATAAATAACAAAAATATTGAAATATGTAAAGTTATGTTTTTGAATACATTATCAATATCTGAAAAGGTTGTCCGTGGAGCAGTAATAAAGAAACTGCAATCGCCAGGAGGTTTAATTTCAAGTCCTGGTGAACCAATATCAGCACGAAAATTAGATGAAGAAAAGAAGCGCACTGTTATGGAACATATTAATCTATTTCCAAGAGTAGAAAGTCATTACAGTCGTAGCCATTCTAAGAGACAATATTTGAGTCCTGAATTAAACATTGCTGTAATGTACAAATTATACACTGATTGGTGTAATGAAGAACTCATACCCAAAGAAAAAATTGTAACAGCTAGTATGTACAGATTCATATTCTGCACTGAATTTAATCTGAGTTTTAAACTACCGAACTTGGATACATGTGATATGTGTGATAAAATTACATGTAGTTTACAAAACGAAAATGATGAGAATCTAAGAAAAACGATCGAAAATGCTAAAAAAATACATTTAGATGATGCAGAAACTCGCTATGGTCTAAAGAGAGTAGATAAAGAGAGAGCCAAGAAGGAAGGCTCAAACGAACGGGTTGTAATGATTGATTTACAAAAATGTTTACCGACCCCATTATTAACCAATGCAAAATCATTCTATCTTCGACAGCTATGGACGTTTAATTTTACTATTCACGACAACACTGCTGGAGAAAATCATTGTATGATATGGAATGAGACAATATCTGAGAGAGGTGGGAATCAAATAGCATCGTGTTTATTTAAGTGGATTCAAACTCTCCCAAATAATATAAAAGAAATTACTCTTTGGTCTGACAACTGCGCTGGGCAAAACAGAAATACAATGTTGTTTGCCATGTATTTGTACGTGGTTCAAAAATTTCCTCATCTTGTAATAAACCACAAATTTTTATTGACAGGCCATACACATATGGAAGTAGATGCAGTTCATGCTGTAATTGAGAAGAAAAAGAAAAGACTGTCTACAATGTCCATTCAAACTCCTAGAGAATGGGCACAGTTTATACGTACTTGCCAATACAGTAATAAGCCATTGGAAGTACACGAAATGTCCCAAAATGAATTTTTCAACTGGGCTAATTTATATTCTGTTCATGGAAAATTAATTGTTCGTAAAGTAAACACAGATGGAGAACCGTTTTTTGAGTTCTAATATTGTTCATTTGCAAGTACGATCAGATAAACCTGGTAAATTACTATATAAAACGGAATTTCATGCAGCCTTTAAAGAAGTAGATTTTAAAAGAAACAAAAGACTGAACTTAGGTTTCTCGAATAATTGTTTAAAGCCAATAAGGGTAAATAGTTTAATTCCCATTAATAAAAAGAAATACGACAATCTTATGGTTCTTCTACAATGGGTGGACGAACAGCATAAAGATTATTATATAAACCTCCCACATTATACAAATCTAGATTCTGATGAAGACGACCGAAAATAAAATCTTTTATAAACTAAATAAAATTATTAATCTATGTTTTGTTATACCTTGAAAATAAAATTGTTCATTTTGTAAGAGGATTATTTATTTATAAAGTCGGATGTCCATAAGAATTAATTGTACACCAGTTCATTAAAAAAGGCGGTTGTCCCTTTATTTTATATTATTTATAATATTTCTAGCATACAAATTGTTTCAAACATAGGGATATTCCAATATTATCTTTTACAAATACATTGATGGTGCTGTATTAAGTAGTAAGCTTATAAACTACAAGCAAATGTGGTTAATATGCGGCCAAATATAAACAATGGCCGATTACTCGAGTTTACGTTTTGTGACACCCGCCCTTTTCATTCCAAGCCACAGATTTATTCAATTCAAACAAAAATAAAATTAATGAAATAAAAGTAAACTTTTCCACACGTTAATATTCTCTTTTAAATCTTTATAACTGATCATTATCTTGGCAGAAATATTTTATCGCGGTTATTATGAAATAAATAGGTTGGACCTCCTTCTTCTCTCTGTTGGTTGTCCTACCAGCAGTACAAATCGTTTCTGGTTCAGGGACTGGATCTCTGTCGCAACTCTAATAATTTTGATACTCTAATAAACCATTCGATTAATTACTTATAATTTTTGATAGGATCAATATTATCTTTTAAGCAAATGCAAACTTTTACCCTTGAGTTCCTAAATCACTCTGTAATAAGGATTTAGTATTCGCTCTTTTTAAAACCTAAAAAGAATGTAAGATTTACTACTATTTTATCAAGGCAGCACTTTTAATAATTAGATCGCAAGCAATGATGTACAAAAGTTTTAATACATTGGTTTGAAAACTTTGATAATCTCACTTTTTCCCCTTCGTAAGTACTTAACATGTGTTTGCACGTCTATGTGTAGGTAGGAAGTTATTTTGATAAATAAATGTGATATACTATAACGCTTTGATTGTTGGCATCAGCCGTAAAAGCTAATTGATTCGAACTGAATCCATACGTGCCAAAATATAATGGGTGTATTAAACGATAATGGTTTTATAAAATATTCCTAGCAAATGTAAATTGACATGAGTTTTGTGAATTTAAAGTGGTTTTCCCATTCTGCACTTAGATTTTCGATGTGTTTATAAATATTTTAATACTAAAATAGAGCTTGCTTTTTAATGTGCTGTTTATAGAATACATTAAAAATTATCAAAGCTTACTGGTAAAACCTAGAAGAAAATGGAAGAGAAAATTAAAGCATAAACAAACCAGAATACGGAAACCTGAATAACCTTTATAATAGTATATGAAGCAGTTTGGGTTGTACCGAAAAAATTAGATGCATCAGGAAAACAAAAATGGCGAATTGTTATTGACTATCGCAAGCTCAATAAACTTACAATACAAGACCGTTATCCACTACCACAAATATTAGAACTATTGGACCAACTAGAAAAATTTCAATATTTCACAACCCTAGATTTTTCATCTGCATTTCACAAGATTAAAATTGACACAAAAGACATTCAGAAAACAGCCTTTTCCATTGAAAATGGACATTACGAATTTTGTCGGATGTCATTCGGATTGATGAATGCTCCTTCTACTTTCCTAGTAAGTAATAAACAACATCCTCTTACGAATCCAAAACGAAAGATGCTTAGTATATGTGGATGACATAATACTCTATTTACCCACTATTCATGAACATATGTCACGACTGACAGAAGTATTTAAAAGTTAAGATTTTTAAATTTTTGAGAAAAAATAAAAGAATATTTAGCATAAATCATAAAAAGCATAAAAACTATATAGAAATAAAATCATTCTTAGGCTTAGCCGGTTACTACCGAAGATTTTTTCCAAATTTTGACAAAACTTCGAAACTTCTTACCCAACTATTTCAAGAAGACATATTATCTTGTATTTTTAATTCTGAATGCAAAAAAAGCCTTTAATGGTCTCAAAAATATTTTAACTTCAGACCCAATTCTTATATATCTAAATTTTGAAGAACTATTTTTACTTACTACTGATGCTAGTGCATTCGCAATTGGAGCCTTTCTATCGCAAGGCCCTACAGAAAAAGAATTGCCAATCGCATGAGAACATCCAGAACACTATGAAGTGCCGAAACAAAATACTCTACTCTAGAGAGAGAATTATTAGCTACTATATGGTCAGTCAAACACTTTAGACCATATCTTTCTTCCGTAAATTCACTCTTATTACCGATCGTCGACCACTAACATGCCTTTTCTCTATAAATGATTCCAGAAACCGCTTAGTGCGTTGAAGCCTAAAACTCGAAAAATACAATTATAAAATAGTACACCGCTTAAGAAAAATACACAGAAATGTGGATGCTTTTTCAAGAATAAAGATTAACCATTTCGATTAACATGCATCGAATATAGACGAAACGGAGACAGACGAAAGCGAAGAAGACGATAATGAAGCAAAATATAGAAAGAATATCCGAAGAACTTGACAAGTTTATCAAATTGCATAGAACTAAATCGATAATCGATTATTTTAAAATTAAAGCGTCGAATACAGAATTACTAGACACAAAATAACCCCCAAAAAATTATCGTTACCTTTTTCTGGCAAAGTAAACTTAAGGAAATTCACGAGAAAATAAATAACGATATATTTAAGAAAAATGTAGAATATAGTAAACGAAGAATTAATATTGTATCCAGTAAAACTGTAAAAGACCAAAAATATTTTATTATACCATTACCTTTTGATCCTGAACGAGAAACATCACATCTGTTTCTCGTAATAAAGACCAACTTTACGAATCAAAGACTTATTGCATCGAAAATAATCTCGAACTACCTATTTTAGAGATATTTTCTTATATTTTGCTTACAAAACGAATAAACTGTCGGAAGGAGGAATAAACGAAACTGTCAGAAGAATAAAGGAGAAATATAATTGGAAGAACCTAACAAAAGATGTCGAACAATTTATAAAAGTATGTGAAATTTTTCAAAGGTTAAGATTTGCAGAAAAAACTTAAGTGGACCATTAGTGTGTTGAGAGGCGAAAAATATGAATTTCTTCAAGTTATACTGGAACTGGCAAAAATCAGGAGTTCAAGACATCATCGAAATAACCACGACGCTTAAGTGGAACTGGGCAGGGCACTTAGCCAGAACACAGAATGGACGGTGGGCAAGACGTATTATGATGGACCGATGATATATTACGTGTAGCGGGAAACTGGCTACAAGCGGCCCAGCGTAGAGAACACTGAAAAGAACTAAGGGAGGCTTATGTCCAGCAATGGACGTGATTGGCTAATTGATAATACTGAAAGGAAAAGTACAGGGTAAAAGCTCAGTAGGAAGACACCAGAACTCATGGCTGAAAGATCTGAGAAGATGGTTCGACCGCTCATCCTCAGAAATCTTTCGCGCAGCAGTTTCGAAAACCACAATTTCTGTTTGGATCGCTAACCTTCGAAAGAAGATGGCGCCATAAGAAGAAGAAGAACCATTAGTTATAACAGAAACTCCAAAAATGCCATTCGAAAGAATTAATATAGATATTTCGGAATACCCCACTATGCTTTAACTATTCGTAATGAATTAACCCAATTCACACAGGCCTATCCTTTAGACAACAAAAAGGCAATAACAGTAGCTAATAAACTCCTACTGTTTTCCAGCATTATGGAACACCACTAAGAATTAATTGCGACTGCGGTCTAGAATTCGCGAATGCCATACTTAAAGATCTATGCGAACTATTTTACATAAAAACTAACATTTTTTAGTGTTAAGTATCCACAATCTAAAAGATCTCTAGAAACATTTCATGCTACACTCTCAGAAAATATTCGAGCAACTCAAGCCGAAAACCTCAAAGATAATCCCTTCACCATACTCCCGTATGCAAGTTAGCTATAAGAACACGAAAAATAAGAACCATGGTTTTACACCATACGAACTTATATTTGGACATACTGCAGGCCGACCACCATAAACTCTATACAATCAAAAAACAATAATGACTAAATACCTAAATAATCTTATGAAATACTTTTACAAAGTAGCCATAGCAAAGACAGAACGACGGAAAAAACGATCTGATTTTAAAATCAATATCAAAGTTTATGTAAAAGTGTCCCAAATTAGATCAAAATCAAAAAATGATTTTAATTGACCTTTGAAATTGAAAACTCTTTACAAATTCCACAATTATCCTAAACCCCAAAACTAACCAAACTTCCAAAGTAAATTTTGACAGACTAAAACCTTTATATTGTTCTGGAGCTATTTTCTTGTGGCATTGTAAATTAATTACTAATAAACTGGGAATAAGCCACAATTAAAGATAAAAATACGTTTATTGACGTTTCAATTTCCACTTCGGAAATCGTTCTCAAAATACAAACAGTAAATTAAACAAATTTTGTTTTTTGTTACATAGTGAAAAATTCTTCTAATAATTTAATTTTATCTGACTCATTTATATTGACAATTCAGACATACATTATGCATTTTAAAGTAGATGACTTTAAAATGATATTGCCAATATTGTTGAGTTGCGCTCCTGAGACGACTTTACTTATAAGATAGTTCATTCGATTACATGAAATCAACTTTAACTTGAGAATATCCGTCAGAAAAAAATCATAGCATGTAATTCGTCTTTAAAAAGACAAACACATGACATGATGACAGTAAAATTCCCCTGTTAGTGATTCCATAGTAAATTATGAGGGAAAACCAGGAAAAAAACCTCATAATACTATCCCGACATTGTAAGTATTTGTTCGTGAATTTAGTTTACCTTCAATAAACATCAAAATTCTGATTTTATATGTTACGTTATTTAAAAAACATAAATGATGTATCCTCTATGTGTTACTGACTTACTAATACTGGTATTTTCTTATTAATAACTTCCTCTTTTAATATTGGTAACCAGATCCTACTGCATTCTGCCGAGGAATTTGCGACACAATTGGCCTCATTTAGCATAATTAGAGCCGCTTCTTTGATTTTTCTTTTTTTACCATCCGTTTCTTTTAGGACTACATTTGAATTATTCCATTGAACCCTGTGTTCATTATCCTATGCGTGTTTACAAATTTGAGATCTATCAAATTCTTTATTTTTAATATAAGATTGATGTTCACTTATTCTAACATTTAATGACCTTGATGATTTACCTAAATAAAACTGATCGCATTCACAAGGTATTTTATAAATGCAATTCTTTGTTCTTTCTTGTTCATTGTTAGGTTTGGTTTTGGACAAAATAGATCTCAACGTGTTTGTTGTTTTGAATGTTGTTGAAATGTTGAATTTATTTCCTATCCATTTAAGTTTTTCTGATAGTCCTTTTATGTACGGTATTGTTATTTTCCTCATATTATTTCTTGTGTATGCTGTAGGATCTCATATCAATTTTCAACAATCGATCGAATAGAACAAAACAACTTAGAACGAGATTTGTGACGTGTTCTGTCCACGATAGTTTCAAAATTCTTCTATATACCCACAGCTCGAATGATTCCAGGTTTTTTATTGATATTGCATTTAAGGTCCAAGATTCCATTACATTCCAACCTAATTCTTAGTTCCAGTTTTAAATCCCTGGTACATAGCACTCTTCTCATTTTGTTGAAATTTGATCTAGCCTTTTATATTCCGATTTTGATTTCCTGACTGTAATCATTTGTGGAGTTAATCATTGTTCAGATATGCATATTTGTCCACTTGTTCGACGTTAGTTCCGTTTATTAGAAGATTCTCGTTATTTCTTTGAGTTTTCGATATTCTCATAAATTTCGTCTTCTTGACATTCATTGTTAGACCATACTTTTTTCTATAGTCTGCTATTGTGGTCACCAATCTCTGAAGATCTTCAATGTTTTCGGCTAAGATCACAGTGTCGTATGCATATCTAATGTTTTTATTGGGAACTCCATTTACCTTTATTCCAGCTGTTTTACCCTCAAGTGCGTTTTTCAGAATCTCTTCGGAGTAAGCAGTAAAAAGAATTGCCGACAATACGCATCCCTGTCTCACTCCACATCATTTCAATTTCTTCTGACAGCTGTTCGTTAACAGGTACTTTTGCTCGCTGTTAATAGTATACATTTGATATGATCCTAAAGATTAGCTATCATCGGAAAATGTCTTATCTGGGACATATGGTAAGGAAAAATCGATATAGGATATTTTAACTGGTTCTTAAAGTTAAAATAAAAGACCGTAGAGATGTAGGAAGAAAAAAGGTTTCTTGGTTAAAAGACAATAGTAAATGGACTAAGATATCATGTGTAGGACAATTATTCCATGTCTCAGAAGATCGAGAAGCCTTCGCAATGGTGATCACCAACATCGGATATATCTCATATGGCAAATAAAAAAAAAGAATGCATTTCAATTCATATCTGAAGGATATGCATGTTTAAAACTGAAACTTATTAAATATTTTTTCCACTTTATAAGCGTTGTCTATAATATAATTGGAGTCTATAACTTTTTCTCTCTCTCTCTCCCACGCTTTCTCTCTCTCTCTCTCTCTTTCTCTCTTTCTCTCCTTCACTTTCTCTCTCTATCTCTTATTATATTTCTCTCTCTCTCCCTCTGTGTATAAAAATTTAAAAAAGTAGCAGTAAGCTAAAAATCATTCAACGTGACGTCATATACTAAAATATAGTTTCGTTTCTTAAACTTTAAATTAAGGACAACTATTTATAAATACCAAAAATTCACACATACCGTCTAAAACATTTTACGATTGTCAAAAACCACTTAAGATATAAATATCTATTTAACAATATAATAAATAATAAAAGTTATAAATTATAGACGCAGTTATTCGAATATTACGTAAATCTAAAATTTAACACCGGAAATATGTATTTTTGTACCTAACGTATAACTAAAATTGTGCTGTTAATAATTTGCTAATAGTTTTTGGCCACCGGCAGCAAAAGCAAACTTAAATGGAGATTCCATGTTTCTATAAAATTGAATCAACCAGCACAATCCATTTCGGTTATATTTACACATTTTCATAATCTGAAAAGGCTCGTACTACAGGATGTGTGCATTAAATGTTTCTATGATATTATTACAGAGCCGGGCCAAGGGGAATTTTCCAATATTAAGCAAAAATTCAGAAGTATATCGTATCTATAAAATAAGCTGGGTCGACAGAGTTAGAAATGAGGAGGTCCTTAGACGGCTGAACCAAACAACACAACTGGTCAATATAATAAAGAAACGCAAGCTGGAATACTTCGGTCATATTATGAGACACCCTGAAAAATATGATCTTTTACATCTGATCATTCAGGGAAAGATCCAAGGTAATCGTGGTCCTGGTAGAAGAAGAACATCATGGCTGAAAAATCTAAGGCAATGGTATGGAAAATCAACTACATCGTTATTTAGAGCTGCTGTCAATAAAGTCACGATAGCGAATATGGTAGCCAACATGATATCCAACGATCGATAACGGTCATGGAACTAGAAGAAGAAGATATCGTATCTACCACCTACTTAAACCTCTAACAGGCCAAATCGTAAAAATTATCCGTTGAAGTGGATATGTTCTTTTCAAGCAAATATAGACAATAATAACGTATTTTTAAATTCTCTGCCAAAAACCTTGTCTAGAATAAGTTTTTAGGTGAGAAATAGTGAAGACGTCTACAGTCGGTCTTATCGGGTTATGAGTTAAAAATAACTTTGGCAGATGTTTATTAAAAAACAAGATTTATTAAGAAAAATAAGTATATAACATGTTATTTTTGATGGTGGTAATCTCAAAAACAATTTTTATCGACTGTGCCGCATAAATGGAGTTCACATTTGAAACAAACAAGCTGCGTATCAAATTTTTTACACAGATTACACCTCTTCTCGCCTTTTTGATCAACCCAAACTGAAAAATGGTTTTCACATTACGTTTTTCAATCTACGTTTCGTTTTTCCTTGAAAGAAACAAGGCCAGATGCTATTTATTCACGGAATTCTAGAAAATATAGAAGCCTCTTCTCTTCGAAACAGTCACTGGAATTATTTGCCTTTTCGGCACGTATACGTTTATATAGTATGAATGCGTTTGTAGCGGCCATGTCGACAAAATAATAGAATATCTGAATCATAATATTTCTACTTTTAGCTCAAATATGATATCGAGTCATAAGGTCACCCATTAAATCGACTTCACCCATGTGAGCATTATATTCACTTATGATTTGTAGATAATCAACTTTGATGTTTCTCCTTTACTTCCTGTCATACTGAGGTACTTTTGCTATTTGTTGATTTGTAGTGGTTTTTATAAAAGGTTTAATGCCAACGTATGTCAATGCCAGGCGGATACATGTGTTATCCTTCCATAACAGAGTGCTGAGATCGATCCCATAACTTGAGGTCATGTATTCTATGGAAAACTTTCTACTTTCTTTATATACTTCATTATCAGTCGGCAGTTTACACGCTGGTAAACGATTAGCTACAAATAAAAAATTAAAACATGTATCATTTTGAATAATAAAAACTACTGAAAATTTAATTACCTCTTACTGTGCCTAAACTTTAAAATTCCTCTTGAATGTAAATATACCAAAAGATGAAGCGAAGTATAGAAGTTGTCAAAATATAAGATGTGATGTTCGAAACTAGGAATCGTTTGAGATAAACGAACCACAACATTTGATATTGCTCCTAGGTCTGGTGTACCAGGCAAGATTACATTATCTCCAGCAACAATGTAGATTTTAAAACGATAGACAAAATCATGTGAATCACACAGAACAAACAATTCCATACCCCATTTGTGTGGCTTATTTGGTATATATTGACGCAAATTGTATTTCATTTTAGTAAAGCATTTGTTCATCAACACAAAGTCCAGCTGTTTTGGTAAGCTA